CGAAATTTCTACAGAGCCTCGGAAAATTTCTGAACTAAGCTCGAAAGCTTCAAACCTTGCTCTGATACCACTTGTTGTGGTATCATTCCAATATCATAAATATATTTGAGAGAAAAACAAGTTTCTATTACTCACAAGAATAAAAACACAAGAGATTTACACACTCTAAACAAAAAAACTCTCAAACTCTCCCCAACTCTTTCTTGTTTGTGTTTCAACACTCTCAAGGTTGATTGATCACACTCTTGGATGATTTGAATAAATGAAATGAGAAGCCTATTTATAGGCAAGGTTAGCACACCTCCATTGACAAGCTTTAGCACATCATTGTTGAATGTGTGTGTGAAAGAAGGTTGGTGGAGTCATTGGTGGATAGTCTTCTTCTTCATTGGTTTGCTTTATGGAAGGACTCTTCCTTGGTGTGCTAATGGTAGTTGCATGGAACTTTCACATCATCGAGTTCTCAAATCGATTTATAGGTGATAAATCCGCGGCTATATCCGCGACTTGTTGGCTTAATGATTCGAAGGTGGCGTCACGCCGCTTGTTGAGTGTTTATGCTCTCCTTGGCGGCATCCAGAACGTACTGGTCTCTGATACCAAGAGTGTGTACGAAAGAAAAACAAGAAGAGATAAACTTCTCAACAAGGTATTTTTTATTTCATAAACGATCGATCCCTGAATACTTAAAGAAGAGGTCTATTAACTATAACCTCACTAGCTAACTAACTAACTTGCCCATCAAGACAACCGTTCTAATAAAGTACTCCATTCTATTCATAATAATTGTCGTTTTGAGAAGTTGCACAGCTATTAAAAATATTTTTTTTTTGCCAATAATAACCTTCATTAATGAGGATAGATATGAATGTTTTGAGAAAAGATGAAGAGTGAATATGAAAAGAGATAGTGTATTGATTAGGTAGATGAGGGTAATAATGAAAAAAATATGTACAAAATATCCAAAACGACATTTATTTTGTTAATAGTTGATAATGCCAAAATGATATTTGAAAAGAATAGGAGGTAGTAAAAAATAAATAAATGTTGTAACAAATTTAATACCACTAATAATAACTAAAATAAAAAATAACAATAATTAATTAATTAAATTAAAAATCTCCATTCTCCATCATCACACTAGTGTTCACAAACAAGCAATTGGTACCTACTTTGATCTTTTAAATAATTCCTTTCTATGTAAAAAATCATTTGTACATATAATTTAGTGAACGGGTGACCACCTGGACTCCCCGAGTAATCTTCTAAGTTTCCTATGTTAAATGTTTCCAGCACAATTGATACTTGTATTAATGTTGAAGTCCTCATTGCCTGTTATTTTAAGGACTTCAATTCATTTCTTTTTATAATTGTTTTTTGAGTAGATAATTTTTAACAAGACGTGATCCTTTTTTTTAAAAAAAATAACACTGACCAGATTTATATAACCGACCATTATATATTAATTTAATTAATAATTTTATAAACACAACTTATATTATTTTCACATGCATTTATATGAAATAGATTACGAGTTGTCAATAATAAATATCAAGTAGGCAATTACACACTGCGTTTTAATTTCATTTGCACCCCAACTCAACTATAGCCCATTTGGTACAATGTAATTATGTAAAGAAGAGATTGCAGCGCCCGTTCGTTTATGAATAAATTAGATTATTTTATTATTATTACTATTATTATTATTGTATGTATTATATAATATATATATATAATGTCCGGTTTTATTTTAATTCTTGTTATCGCGTTGAATTTTATTTCGGCTCGAATGAATTAGTTCCGACCCAGTTTGGGTGACATTCCAACCCCATTTATGGTTTATTTCCTTCAGCCCAACCTTATGAATTTATTTTCGGCACAAAATGAATAATGTCTTGCCCAATTCCTATTATTTGTTTGACCCGTTTAAAAAAAAAAAGAAGAAAATATTTTGGGAGATATTTTGGGAGATTCTGCCTCGCACGTTCTCTCCTCTACAGAAGACTCGTTCCCAGTCGTTCTCTCCTTCGACCCTTTTAAAATCTGACCGAGAACCTTCGAGGTCCTCTGTTTTTCCCAAACTGTAACCGTGCGTGCCATTGATTCCGACGAGCTCCTCTCATCCTCGCCGGCGTCCTCTTGTCCGCGTACAGCCTGTCCACCATCGACGAGCCTTAGCCGTGAGCTGTCAACATTCCCGCAGCCACAGTCGTCCGTCCCGAGAAGCCATAGCTACCGTCTGCTTGTGCGTGTCCAGTCGCCGGAACTTGTTCTCACAGTAATCTTGTTCGTCGTCGGGAAGAACCTGTAAGTTTGCGAGAAGGTTGAGTCCAGACCCCGTGTTCGAAGGTGTTGAGTCCGAGTCCCAAAGTCGTTCGTCCGACCCGCTGTCGGGCCCGTTTCCCGTTCGATAACTCGTAGTTTCCCCGGGTCGGGTAACTTATTCGAATCCTCTCTTTATTGCGGTCGTTTCCATATATCACATGTTATATATATGTTGTGCTCGATCTATCGAAAGTTGTTTTGAAGTCGGAATTCATTCGATTTATTTGTTGATTCGTATGTGTATTTCGTATATTCGTGGATTTTCGGGGATGATTGGAACTCTCGATTTATAAACGTGAATACCGTTGTGTTGCTGTGATAAATGTGTATAATTTCGGAGTCTCGTTTTGTTATTTCGAGCCGTCGTTAGGTTGTTCCGGTCGTTCGAACCCCCGGTCGTTCATTTTGCTTTTATATTTAGTTGTTCCGTTTTCGAGCCAAAAACCGTGTTATTGTGTTTCTTGAGTCTAAATATATGTTCGTTCGATACTGTTATAACTCCTCGGTCGCCGTTGGATATGTTGTTGTAGAATTTGGTCGAGTTTTTTTCAGTTGCCGTTTTGTTGTTGCAGCTTCTGTACAAAAATATTTTTCTGGTTCTGTTCTCAGAATTCTGTTCAATTCGCTGCTTGTCATAACTGCGTTTTGGTTTTAATTCAAGATTCGCTTTAAATTATCAATCAGGTGTCGTGCAGTGGTGCACACACTCATTTTCTTTGTATGAGGTCGACGGTTCGAACCTCAGTCCCTGCATAATAGTTTTTATTTTTTATTTTTTAAGTCAGCTCCCAGGCGCGCGGGCTTTCGGCCCGAACCCAGCCCGCGCTAAGCCCGTCCTTATCCCCAGCAGCGGCCCGCGTGTAGGCCCAGAGATGGCCCGCAGATTTGCAGCCTTTGAACAGCCCAATTAGAGCATGTAGGCCCAAATACTTTGGGCATTTTTGGCCCACTTTTATCATATTAGCCCAATTCGCCTTTTTAAGTCAATTTTTGTGGTTTGAAGTCCGTTTTTCGTAACGTTTTTTAACTCTAAAAATTATTTTCAAATGAGATAAATTTAGAAAAATTATTTTAAGTTCCGGGACTCTAATTTTGGTTCCCGAATCTTGTTTTTCTAAAATGAGAGAGTTCTAAGTCCACGAAAAATCCGATTAAAACCATTAAATCTTAATTTTTATTAAATATGAGTTTTATGTTGAATTCGAGTAGTGAGATAGATTATTGATAAATCTCGCTTAAATGTAGGTGTTTGAGAAGTCGAGCCTCATCCTACGTACTTGCTTTTGTATGTAATTTTCTACCGAAATTTCAAATTTCCAGGTGGATTTACTTATATATTAATTTAATTAATAATTTTATAAACACAACTTATATTATTTTCACATGCATTTATATGAAATAGATTACGAGTTGTCAATAATAAATATCAAGTAGGCAATTACACACCGCGTTTTAATTTCATTTGCACCCCAACTCAACTATAGCTCACTAGGTCTACCAAATGATCGTTTTATATTATTATTATTATTTTGGTACAATCGTTTTATTTAATTTTCATTTGCACCCCAACTCAACTATAGCTCACTAGGTCTACCAAATGATCGTTTTATATTATTATTATTATTTTGGTACAATCGTTTTATTTAATTTTGTGTTGTACATTTGGTACAATGTAATTAGGTAAAGCAGAGATACTAAGGTCCCACTACATAACCATTTTGTCGGATTTGTAACTGTTAAATCAACTATCTTTGACAGTTACATGATGATCTAACGACGGAATAGTTCCGTAACAGACCGTTAGCATTTTCCTATATAAAGATGATAGATAAGATATTTATTTTTTGTTCCCTTCTACTAATTTGGTGGAAAAATTATACAATAGAAAATGAAATTCCCAAAGGATACGTCAAGATGCATAAAAAAGCATGAAAGTTCGGAGCAATAACAGCCTAACTATATTCCTCAGTACCTATATATGTGTGTGTATGCCCATTTACAAGTCAAAATACAGAAAAAGAAAGGAAAGTGTTAACAGACTAGTTTTTTCTCAACTGTTTTTTTT